AAAGAAATAGGTTAGATTTATTAGGGTTTCTCAGTTAAGATAATCGAGGAAAGCTTACGCGATAGGATCGAGGTCAATACGATTTACTACTCGTGCGAAAACAAAGAATATATCTGTTTCGAACTTTGCCACATTTCTTAAACGAATTCACGGTCGAGCATGCTGTTAATTCGCATGGTGTTTTCTACCCCCTTTAACGATGTCTTTTCGAAATCGTTGTATGGCGGGAAAATGTATTTGGACATAATCTATCCTGTACCCTGCGACGGTACGAAAAGAGAAATTTAACCCTTTAACTGCGAGTGCTTTTAGCACAGCCGATCGCTCTAATTTTAAATTATATTACTGAAGTGATATTCTATTTTAAAAGATTTTTTTATTCTATTTATTTTATTTTTATTTTAGTGATATATAAGCCATAGCCGCTATTTGACATTAGCAAAAATTAACATGCTGGTTATAATTTTACTATGTGGTTTATAAACCACACCCGCAGTTAAAGGGTTAAGAACGGTAGTAGATAATTCTCGTCGACGATCTCGACAAAGTGTAGAATGATTATGCTAGTTTTTTCGTGAGTGATGTCAGTTTTGGGTGTCTGCCAGTTTTAAATAGTCCTGTCCCGTTTGCAAACCCAGACACTGTATAGCAACCCTTCTCTCTACGTTTCTCTACATCCCTCTTCGATAGGGAACCACTTTCTTTTTATCATGAATTTATTCTCTTTGATTCACCGTTGTACATTGGACACCTGCTTTTCCTTGTTTTCCTCTTGATGAATGCTATACCAATTGTTCGGAACATATTCGTTACACTACGATTACGGTGTATGTATAGGATTATGCCACGTAGCGGGACGAATACGATTTACCGGGTTCTTACAGGCGCACGACATGTGTCGTTCAGTTACGTAAAGCGGTAACGAGAGGTGTAAAGAAATCTTGGATTGCCTTTAAGTACAGCCTATTTAGAAAGTAACTATAACAAGTTATACATGTCTGAATATTACGTTGGACCGACATTTGCAAAGTTAATTAGAATTTTCGAAAGTGAAGAGAAAGGTTCGTTTTATTTGGTGTCACTGATCCAGACCAGGGACAAATATTAGGGCGATCTACGAAATGATTAAATCCTCGTCATATAAAATATTCTCTGCGTTTTCTAACTTTTTTAGATTCTTCATCGATTAACAATAAGGACGAAAGCCCGATCGTAACGTCATCGAATTCATAGTGACGTTTCTCTGCTTCCACATAGATTGCGTTATGAATTCTCTTGATCTCCCATGGGAAATCGGAAACCGTTACTTCCTGGTCCATCTTTATTTCGCCACCTTAATCTTCGATTATTCTTCCTCGAATTTTCCTCCTGTAGCTAAAGGATTCTTGACTTTTTTGTTTGAAACTGCCTGTAGAACCGATGGTTCGCATTGCCGAAATGGCATTTACCAGCGCATTCCTGTAGCATTGATCGCGAAAGCAGGACAAGTGACGTCATTTTGTGTCACAAATTCAGTAGAAGGAACTACGAGTCCTTAAATGTATGTTTATCTTCGTAATAGTCCTTTTGGAATCTTCCTGTAAGGCATCACTCGAGTTCGAGTAACCTTGTCGCTTGGTAAAATTAAACTTTTATAAGGTATTATCTACTCTCTTTCGTCATCTTCCCCTATGGCCTTTTATGATTCGCTATATTTCGATCGCTTCCTCTTCTCAACTATTCCCTTCTTTCTTCGATATATCTCTCTCTTCCTTTCTCCCTCTAGTGCATCTATTCTACACATCTATCCACTCATCAATCTCTGTTGCCCTTTATCTTCGTTCGCCGTAGGTGCAAGGTGAAACCGAAAAGGTAGCCCACCTTCGAGGAACGTTGAAGGTTCATCGATCGATACGCTCCGCCTTCAAAGCGAACCAGTGAAACGTTGTTCGACGCATTCTCCAGAAAACTTACGCTTCTATCCCCGAACAGAGATCGTAAACAACTATTCAAGCAAGTTAACGTCATGGAATCGATTTACAGCTTTTCAAATGTAGCCTTATCATTTGGTAAAGTAATGGAGGAGTGTGTTAACAAGCTTTTAGCCCGGCAAGGTAATAATCATCGATGAGATTTCGCAAGACGAGTCGAAAGGCGTTTGAAAAGTTGTAAAAGCTTTGGGAGGAACGGGGTAAAAGCGAATGAAATCGAGTATGGTAGTGCCTGGTAGTCTAGGTTTCTTCTTGGTCGGTTGAATGCATAGTCTTGGTGTCGATCGATCAACCGAAGAACGAGGGAAAAAAACGATGGCATCCGTGCCAAAAACTGCTCCCACGAAAAATGATGGGCTACCTTGAGATACGACTTGCTTTCTGGTGAGTAGTAGACCGCTCGAAATCCGGGTGACCTCTTTCCACCGACACGGTCTTTGCCCTCTTTCCTTCCTTCCTTCCTCCCGTCCACCCATCCGCCCTTCTTCTAAGCTTCCAACCCTCTTCTTCTCTCTCTTCTTTTATCCGTCAGACAAGTTGATCTTCCGGAAGTCGCAGCCTCCAGTTTGCCCTCGTGTCGAGCGACGACGCGCAAAGGAAACAACGATCGGAAAATGGAAAATCGTTGTCTTCTCCTGGTCCGTCCTCGTGTTCCTCGAGTATCGAGGCAATTGGTTCTGTCGGATTTCAAGGGCTCTGCGACTTTGTTTCTTCGTTTATGTATACCTACTTGGGTACTTCTTATTCAAGTTTTCGAGCTCTAATCCCACAACGTATCGGGTACGAGGGGCCGAGAGAAGCGTGTTTATTCGGTTTCGAACGAATGACAAACGATGCGTGGCATTCAACCGTACCTTTCATCATTCGTACTTTACCTTTCGACGTGAGAACAGTTGGCATCGATCGAGCGAACTACTTTTCCACTTTCGACCGACCTTCGAACTATTAGCTATTAGTATTCCTGTGAATCGGACCTAGCCCGATTTCGTTTCGTTATTTCTAATATTATCGCTCGCGTGCTGCCTTACAAGCGTAAGAACAGTAAGGGACAAAACCGCTATATTAACGTTAGAATAATTTCAACCGTGGGACAAGCAGAATTTCTTTATCTCTCTTAGGGTTAGTTCGAGGGCTATAAAAGGAGCTTGTTCCTTTAACATCGTGTCTTCGATTCTCCTTTGAACAGAACCCTAGGGAACAGTTACGTATTCGCGAGAAAACCCTAGGGTTTCATTGCTTTTTCTACGACGAACAGCGATTTTCCCTCCTTTGTCCTATACCAGCCACCAAATAATAGAGGGTGCAAAGCGTCTTGGGGGTGAGATCTTCATTTTAATCGCAGCATCGTTATACTATAAAGTTTCGTAGGTATGGGTCAGAATTCACCCGGCTCCGCCATTCAAATCACGTCCTTTGCTATTTGGGTGCAAAAATGCCAAGTGGTCAAGGAAAATGCTCGCTGAGTTAATGTTGCAACGAGTAGTAATTCGTGAAACGTTTAAGCGTTCCTTTCTAGTGGAGTTATTCAAAGCGAACAGTCGAAAGCAGTGTTTGTAAAAAAAAGTGAAATTTTACGTAGTTAATTAGCTCTCTGTTTATCTGACAAGTACCTCTCTGCTAAGTTTCAATGGATTTGTATTTCGCTGATATATTCGAATATCGCTAGGGACTTTTCTCTGTAGTCACGTGGTTTACCGTTGATCGAGCAAACGATTACTCTTATTAGGATTTGCGGTTGGAATTTATCGGATTGAAGTAATTCGTTCTCTAACTCCGGATCGATAGAAATTCTGCCTGTCTTTCAATTTTATATTCGTTTTCCCACCTAAAACTATTCATCGATTTACATACAATATCAATCATAGTGTCCGTTCGTCTAGTGTATTTTGTCATTTCAAATAAATTATTCAAATTCTAAATTATTGAATATTTTAAAGCTTTTATCAGATGATTATGATAAACGAACGGACACTATGATCCTATATACACATATATCCTGGTTACAACACCACGTGACATCGACCGTCAAAGCGTCAAAACCTAACCTAAACTGTAACTCTGAGAAGAAAAAGATGCATTTTTCATCGGAGAATTCAGCACTGGGAAGAATTTTTGAAACGATGCGAAACGAAACAAGGAATATCTTGTCGATGTCGAAAATAATACCACTACGTTCTAGGAGAAATAAAGCGTATTGGAAGAACGAGCGACGATGACGTTACGAAACGAGTATACATAACGGAGAGGAAAAGTAATCTTCCCGTCGAATGGACCGAGCGGAATTTTGCTTGAACCCCCATCCCCAAAACAGGGATTGAAGGATTTTCTCGGAGAATCCGCTAAGCTCGCTACATGTATCGAGGAATCGTTTGAAAAATATTGAAAGAAGAAGTTTCTTTTCGTTCGAGACAGCGTCGACTTTTCGAACGATTAATCTTCGAGACCGAAGGATAAGACGTAGCACGTAATTTCACGTAAAAAGAAGCATCGATAATTTAAACCAAAATTTTCTCTATATAACCTCTACTGCTATAACACGAATTAATGCACTTACCTAATTAGTCGGCTGAAGTGTCATCGATCGTCGATTGTTTCATAACTTCGAGCCTTCTCGATTTAGATTAAAATAACACAACACTCGCTCAATTATTAAATAATCTTCATTCATCCAACGTTTGCACACGCGATGAACAATTAACAACGTGTTCGATGAGATCAAGCGGACTGAATATGCTAGGATAATGGTTGGTAAGTTATCGATACGTAATCGATAATCAATGGACGGTTACGGTGAATCGATTCTATCGAACTGGGCGGCTGAGGTATCGCACGAACAGGTTGCGAAAAGGACGGTGAACAAGCGGTTTTCGAATCGAGACGATCTCGAGTAATTAGCGTTAACAATGACTGCACCAGGAGGCCGGCCCATTGCGGATTCGATAACTCGAAGGTATCGCGGTAATTTTCATCAATTCGGCCGATTTAATTTTAGCCTGGAAATTCTAGCTTCGCGATCCTCGGTATTTCAAGGGGTGGGGGTAGGGGGATCGGATCGATTCGAGTACTCGCACTCGAACGACTCTTTAATCTCGAGAATAACCGAGAAACAAACGTTACGTCATCGTGAACCTCGATGAAATTTGCGACGCCATTACTGTTTGCTGTTTAAAGTTTAAATGAAAAATATTTGAAAGATCAACGATCGTGAAGACTGTATTCAGGTTAGATTAAACTTGTTCGAAATATAGGATTTTAATTACGGTGCTTTGGGTGGGAGATTAATGAGTTCTTGAAAAACATTATTATGTCAGTACTCCGATCTTGTTCCGCATAAAGACGACTCCACGGAACCATAAAGATAACTTGGCACGATTCATTACTCGCAGCATGGAAACTCAGTTTTATCTGTACTCTTGGCTGCTAGTTGTCCGTCACAACCCTATGAATGTCCCATTCGGTTGGAAAAACGATTGAAACCTGTACCACTGTTTCTAGCTCCATCGTATTCGCGTCGAAAGGTTTCGATTGATGACGTTATGAAATAAAATAACTACACCGACCGCGACGATACAAATGCTGAATTATCGTTTCCTTCTGTTTCAGCAATTGTTCGTCGAGCAGCAGCGAAGAAATTGCTGCAGGGTCTTCGCAAGAGATTCGGGAGGAGCAAATGAAAGCGTGTCGACGTTGAATAAGTATCGTCGATTCTGGTCTGTGATCGGGTCACGTTTGACGTGTCGGCAACATCAACGACAACGACAACGACGACAGGGGCCCGCGGTTCAGCGACGAGGATGTGATCGAGGCTTACTCTACGGCTGCGTTCCCCTGTCTAAGGGATGTCCTCCTCCGCGGGCACCAGCTGCACCGACGCCGAGGAGGACGCCGAGGATGTGGAGAACGACGTGGCAGGTAGCGCGCAGTCGTCTAATTACTTGCCGTCGGGTCTCAACGATAGCGCGCGCGATCACCTGGAAGGACTGCGGTTAGATGGGTCATCGATCGCGCGTCCACCAACCGAGGACACTTCCGCGAGCCCATCGACGTCGTCGTGGTCGGTGCCTCGATAAATCCGGATCACCGTCCTCCCCGTTCCCTTTGTCGAGGCGTCGTTCTTCACCGACGACCCTTGACCCGACGGACTCTGAGCATAGAGTTGCTCAGCTTCGAACCGAGTCGGCGAAGGAGTTGGGACACGTGGCAAGTTGGAGGACGAGTTACGAAGCTAGCAGCCCAGTCGAAGGAGTTGGTTCGTTCGCGTTCAGGTGACGACAGAGACATCGTAAGTGTGCCGCGGGTGGATCCTGAGTTCCGGAAGGGTCCAACGTTTGTCACGTAGGAGAAAATCGCGTTACCGTTAGCCATAGTCATTCTGTACCATAAAGAAGCGTAAAGAAGCATAAAGAAGCGTAAAGAAGCGGACGTTGGTTGGGAACGCCGTTCTATCCTCGTCAGCGAGATTAAGGTTCGCAGGACGAGGGCAAGGTGAAAAGCAACAGCCGCGGTGTAATCTAGCTCGTCGAGGATTACTGGAACGTGTTTGGGACAATTTGGTGATCGTAGTGGAAGCAAGAGTACACAGGTATTCTGTGCGACCCGGTGCGGCGCGGCGTGCTGGTTTGGACCGGTTCCAGGCCGCGTCAAACAGGTGATTCGGACTCGATCCACGATGGTGAACTACCTTCGGACGATGGGGTTCGGTTAGTGGAGTCGCGTCTGTGTCGCGTGTGCAAAGAGATAGGAGGATAGGAGGATAGGAGGATAGGAGAAGAAGCGACGAGAGAGGCCTAGCGTCGACGGCGACAGGATATGCGGCCGGACTGATTGCATGAAATGAGGCGAGAAAGACAGCCAGAGATCGTCGTAGCCAGAGGCTGGCCGAGGTCCTGATAGCCGCAGCGACCAGGATCCGGGATTATCCAAAGGAGAAAGGATGCCAGGGGGGCGCAGGGGCCTGGTCGCCCCGCAAAACACATTCCTCGAGAACATCATACGTCGTAGCAGCAGTCAACGTGAGTGATGTCCAACTGATATACATACATTATACACTATACGGTATATATGTACCTTGATTGGTTTCGTTTTCCGATGAATCGATGATTGGACGAATATAATGCCGAGTCCCTGTGGATTCAACAGCTCGGACGAGGAGACAGAGAGAGACAGAGATTGATTCCGAGACCGCTTTTGTGGGAATTCATGGCATTTTAGTGCGTGTTCTTTCACGCTGCCTCTCTCTTCATCCCTCTGTCTCTTCCTACCAACTATCTATACCCTTGTCTCTTTCTCTCACGGAAGTAGGTCAAACTAATAACTTTATGTAACCGCAGCAAGCGTGCAGAGATAAAAGTTACCCCGTATAACGAGATTATTCCCGATGACCGTGATAGATTCTAGTTAACCGTTTCGGTTCCGAACGGAGAGTGAAATTCCTACTTTCGATGGTCCTCCTTCGAGTACTTACTCCCTTTGCCTCTGTTTCCATCGCGTTAAAGCCAAATACCGCATTACAGTTGGCATTAGTCCTTAATTTTTTAAGGAGATCAGATGACTAGTTACCAAGACAAGATAGTCGACTTGTTAATCATAAATCCTCCTTTTTTCGAAATTTTCTGAAAAAATGTTTGCAAAACCGACGCATACGAATCTGTAGCTCCTTCAAAAGCATCAAAGCAAACTTCTAAACGCTCGTCTCGTTGAAATTTCATGCAGGAGGTCCGAGGCTTAACATCCTGTTCAGCTTGCAGACTTTCTTGATACTGGATTCAGTTTCCCCGAGACTTGCCTTTCAACGTTTTCGATCTTCTCGAAACTTTCCTACACTCTCTCCAGCTTTCCAAGCATCCTTCCAACTTCCTCGACCTATCCTAGGGACTTTCGAAACTCCACGAAGTGGCTGGAAACTTGAGTACACCATGAACTACTCATCTGTCGATATCCTCGTCTTACGATTAGGGAGAAAGCAACGATGACGAGTAACCTGAACGAATCTATAGTGCTTAATAGGTACTTTGATACTAGGTTTCCAACGTCGATATTAATTATAGAAAAGACTCGTTTGAAACATTAGAAAATTAATGATTGATCCTTGGAGGAGACGCGCACGGTACACGTCTCTGTTTCGATAAATGTTTAACAGGCAAGGGGAAAAAGAGAGGTAACATTCTAGTCGCAGTGTATTAACCCGTTAAATTTTCGATGAACCACTGCAATAGCGTGACATGATTTACCTAGCGAATCTGTATCGCGATTCACGGAGTCAGCCGTTCCAGCGGTTTCAACGGTCGCTGATACACACGATGATTAACAACTAGACTGCTAGACGCTTCGAGCGTCGAACAAAAGCTTTCGCTAATCGAAATTGTGGGAAACCTTTCGGAACATCTAACATTAGCGACACATATTTCATACTAACGTTAACTTCACCATGTTTCATAGTTACCGTAACAAGTTTACGAGTTTAGGTTAATCGTGGAAAAAGTATTTAATGTTAAATGGATCGCAGTGTTTTGAAAGGCAGGCTGGAAAGAGAAGAACGTTAACGGTGCTACTTTCCCTCTCTTGTTCACACTTCTGTCGGCGGTGCTTGTGCACAGGTTGTTACGTCCTCAATTCAAACGTGCCGCGAATGAATTAACTAGCGGAGGGTGAGCCGTAGTCACGTACCACCTATGTTTTTCGTCCTCGCGAAAAACGACCGGTCAAAAAGGAACAAAGATAAAGAAGTTGCCAGCGACACACTTACAATTAGCAGCACAGAGGGTCCGCGTTTAAGTAACTCTCGCTAACCGGCCATTAACCCGTTTAACATTGCCGTGTCGTAAAACAACGTAGGAAGCTTCAACCACTTAAGATCCCTATTTAAAAGCATGAAACGGGTAAAAGAAAAACCTTCATTTTTTCTTATAATTTATAAGAAGCTTTATTGAAGACAATGTTATTACATTAAAAAAGTATTCAAAAAATTGAATGTTTAAATGAAAACTGTGAAATAAAAACCCTTGAAAAATCCAGTAACTATAAATAGTTACTAAATGAAATCACATTTAATGGTACCAGACATAGACCAATATCAGGACATTAGGACCAATATCAGGACTTTTCTTCTCACAAACAACACAAACACGAGTAGCATTTGACGCTGTGACGCTGTTAAACGTACGCTACGATTTTATACGAGTCTCGAAGATTGCGCGTGTTCAACTGGATCGAAGAACAGATTGATTTCCATTGAATGAAAATCAGGGACACGGATCGCGAGTCGATGCCGATTAATTGGCCGGATATTTCATCCAAGTACGATCCGGTTCGATCGTCGAAAGGAAATTTCCTGTCCTCCAGAACGACGTTAACGTTCGACGAAAGCTGAAACTCTTATCGTACTATTGAAAAAAAAAGGAGATTTTATATTTTACTATTTATCGTTTGTTTAACGAGAGAAGTCGTCGATATCGGAAAGATAATTTTAGCGATTAATCGTCAGAGAAAATTTCAATCTCCTCGAAAGAAATTAAATTTGTTCCGCTTTTAATCGAAACTTTTCTATACGTGTTTTCGCGGTAAACGCAAACACGCGAGTTTTCAAACTCGGCTGCCTCGTTGAACGGTCGCCCGAGGAAAAGTTGTTTTCCAATTTTAAATACTAGAAGAGTTAATTTTCACATCGGTTTATCAACATTCGCTGACCTTTCCCGGCCACTGAATGACTCCCCTTCTCTTTCATCCCTTAGCCGCAGAAAATTTTACTTCGTCGACTCGATAAATTCTCAGGTATTCCTGGAATCCGACGATAATTGTTGGATCAATTAGCCAGGATGCCGTTAAACGAATTCATTTGATCGTTAGAGTTAAATTAATGCAATTTTCAGTGTAGGATCGATGATTTTTCAGTTGTTCCGTTGAAATCTGTTTATTACAACGCGACGTTTCATTACTACGCGATAAACGTCCCTTCAATAATGGAAATAAATACGGCTTTAATTACGTTCGCCATTAATTACCGGACACGAGTTGTCGCGAGTGAAGGCGGCCCCGACGGATATCAGTTTGTCAATTAATCCGTGCAAACATTTGCATCACGCTTTTCCCATAATACTGCTGCACACCCACCCTTCCTTCGACTCTTTCTACTTTCTACTTTCTACTTACAAGTAAACCTACCCAAATGCATTCGAATGTTTAAAAACGCAACAATCGTTCCACTTCCAAGCACCGGAAATGTATCGAAAATAGAACAGGATATAGAGCGTCTATTGGAACAGGGCTCTATCGTCGCATCGTTCTGCCGATATTTCGCGGCGATTCACCGCCGCCCTATCTCGCTTTTCTCTTTAGAATATTCATCGTGCACTCGTCCTGCACTCATCTTGCACTCATCCTGCACTCGCACGTATCTGATTCCGTTCGTGTTGCATCGACGTGCAGGAAACGGCGCGATGCGACGCGTCCTCCGACAAATCTGGAAGAAACGTGCCCTCCGCCAGAAACGTATTGTGTTATGAAGAACGCGTGGAAAATTTCTTTAGATCCCTTTCAATCCCTATGTGACCATATCGAGACATGGAAATCCATAGAAAAATGCACGAGTTCGCGTGCCCGCATGGAAATTTACATTTTCGGGTCGAGTGGAGAAACTGAATGCACCCAGTGATCGGGTTTAAAGGGCATACACACCCGTTCTAGCAACGTTTGTCTGCCGGAGCGGAGAAAGCCGATTTTTCGATAGAAAAAAAGCGAATTGATATACATACTTCTGTTTTCCCGTCAAATGTTTGCCACGCCTTCCACGCTTTCCATGCCGATAGAGATATACAGTGGGTGATCAAATTAGAGCCGTTCGCATAAATTGACGATTTTATAGAAAAATCAAGTTAAACAGAGTTTTTATTATTTTTTTATGATGTATTGATGCTTGTAAAATTATGATCTCAACCCCATCGAAAATTTGTGGAATTATTTATTATTGGTAATAAATGTCAATTGATTGAACGTTTGATAGAAGTATGGGCCAAAAATCAAGCGATCAAAATAAATTGCTTAAAATGCCGAAAAGAATTGCAGCAACATAAACGTGTAAATATAATCTTTTAATAGTGGAGAATTATTGATTAAAAGTTATACAATGCAAAAACCTTAAAATTCTGGCTCTATTTCTACAAAAACACGAGAAACCCATTTTTCATACCGTGGCTCTAATAATTTTATCACCCACTGTAGCTTTTCATCCACGTTTCTCGTTCACAGTAATTTCTCTCATAAATTCTATCTCGTAAATTCTGTTATGTTATCAGCTAACCAGCAAGGTTAACAGCGCACACCGGTATTGGTAGAAACATCAGAGCGCGATCGAATCTTTTGGAAAGTCGTCAAAGACGATCGGTGGTTTTCACTCGGGTTTCGGTCCCGCTGGGTCATTGGGTCAAAGGTTCGGTTACATCGGGCTAACCGTGTACATACAGTACGCGTTCACAATGCAAACTTGAAGCGTTAGCTGGGGGTGGGCCGGCTCGTTATTCGATGCACGACTATTTTTAGAAACAGCCGACCGCCCCGAGTGAGAGAAGCGACCGAGTGGCCGGGTCGAGCTCGAATAAAAGATGAATAACTCGTGACACGGTGCCCCGTAACACCCACCCACTTCAACCCTTCTTTCCCCTGCTCCCCGCTCACCGTTCGCGATACTGATATCGATTTTAAAACGAGTCCTGTCAATTCGACCCACCGTGTACAACCGTTCGCTAGACAGCTTCGAGGGTTGTTAACCCTTCGACGTCGCCTGTCGATGCCAGAGCCTGAATCCAATGTCCTTTCGACCCTATCTGATCGGGTATGCCTCGATGAATGTTCAGCTTTCCAACAATCTCTACGCTCTTTCCATCCCGTTTCCACAGTAGCATCTTTTGTAAATTTCGGAACGAAGCGAGCACAGAAGAGTCATCTTTTCTTTTCTTCTCTTTTTTTTTTGTTTTGTTTTGTTCGGGGTGAGGCTGTGGCGAGAGGGTGAGACGATGGA